TGTAATCCAGTTCTAAGGGATCTAACACCTGACACTGTGTACATTTGTTACACAGATATTTGGGCAGGGCACTCATACATAAAGTATAAATGGATAGAATTATTAACAATTTAGAATAGGAGAGCTAACTATGTGTTCAAAAAGAGGGTTTCTAGATACACAGCTTCTAAACCCAGAAGCTTCAGATATCAGCATATAAACCATAATTTATGTGGAATATAACCCAATTTTTTTAAAAAAGCATCATTTCTTGACCTTTAAGACTACAAATAGTTCTTTGTCTTTTTAAAATTTATTTGTTTTTATTTTGCGCGCATTGGTGTTTAACCTGCTTGTAAGTCTGTGTGAGGGTATCAGATCTTAGAGTTACAGATAGTTGTGAACTGTTTTGTGGGTGCTAGCAATTGAACTTGGGTCCTCTAGAAAAGCAGTCAGTGCTGTTTTTCTAAACCCCCCCATGTCTCCAACTAGAATATTTCTTTTGAAAATATTTATTTACACAGGGCAGTGGTGGCGCACACCTTTAAACCCAGCACTTGGGAGGCAGAATCTCTGAGTTCTAGACTAGCCTGGTCTATAGAGTGAGTTTCAGGCCATCCAGAGCTATATTCTTTTCTTTAAAGAAATTTTTGATGTTTGATACTCCAAAGTCTGTTTTACCATAGATATTTTCTTTTTCTTTCTCCTTCCTTCCTTCCATCTATCCATCCATCCATCCATCCATCCTTTCTTCCTTTTTGGTTTTGTTTTTGTTTTTCAAGGTAGGGTTTTTCTGTGTAGCAGTCCTGGCTGTCCTGGAAATCGCTTTGTAGACCAGGCTGGCCTCGAACTGATAGATACCCACCTGCCTCTACTTTCCAAGTGCTGGGATTAAAGGCGTGTACCACCACTGTCCGGTCACAGATACTTTTTTTATTCTGGGGCAAGGCAAGGTAAAATGGGAAGAATAAGTTCCCCAAATTGAAATATTGAGTTTAATGAAGTATTTAGATAAATGTGCCTCAGCGTGCTATGAAGTTGCCTTGTGAGGCTGCTCTATGCTGCTGCTCGGGTTGGTCTTCAAAGTCCTTATTTAAGAGAGGGTAGCTGGGCGGTGGTGGCGCACACCTTTAATCCCAGCAGAGGAGGCAGAGGCAGGTGGATCTCTGAGTTTGATGCCAGCCTGGTCTACAGAGTGAGTTCAAGGGAAAACAGAAAAATCTTGTCTTGGAGAACAAAAAAGGGGGGGGGGCGCCGGGTGTGTGTGTGTGCAGACTGGTAATTCACTTCGTTAATTCCTGTACTTGAGAGGCAGAGGCAGACTGATCTCTGTTAGTCTGAGGCCAGTGAGGCTACATTGAGAGACCCTGTCTCAAACAATCAAAAAGATAGGGTCTGGAGAATGCATGCTGGCTGCAGGATGATTCTTTGAAGATTGGCTCTGTGTAGTTTTTTTTTCTTTTCTCAGTTTTGCCAATACTCCAACTATACTTTTAAAGATTATTTTATGTGTATTTGTGTTTTGCCTGCTTGCACGCGCACGCACACACACGCACACACACATCATTGTGTGTGCCTGGGGCCTGCAGAGGTCTGAAAAGGGTGTTGAGTCCCCTATACCTGGGTTGTCAGCTGTCACATGGGTGTTGGGAACTAAACCTTTGTCCTCTATAAGAAAAACCAGTGCTTTAAATACTGAGCCATCACCCCAGTCCCTATTGTTTTGTTGTTGTTGTTTTATTTTATTTATTTGTTAACTGAGACCTAGACCTATCCTTTGTGGTTGAGAGCACAGGCTGATCAGATGCTTGTGTTTAAATTCTGGCTGTGCTGATTAGCAACCGTATGACTCTGGCACAGCATGACCACTCACTGTGTCTCACTTTCTTAGTCTGTAGCACATAACGTCAGTATGACATCTCCTTATATGGCTGTTGTGTGGATTGAGATGAGGCCAGTAGTGGGGACAGCAAGGAGCCAGTGCCAGAATGAAAACTGGTGATAACTGCATCCCATTCTTTCAGAAGTCTATAGCCTTGTCTTACCACATTCTCATAGTCATTTATTGGAGCAGCATGCAGAGAGAGACATTCTTTGACGAAGTTAGCTTGGCTAGTTGAGTAAGCTGTTCGGTGTGTTTTAAACAATGACTATACTTAACCAATTGTTGGTTATCAAATGGTTTATTGTCTGTTTCTAGATCGAGTACAGGGAGCTGGAGGCCAAAACATGAGGGACCGTGCCACAATTCGGCGCCTGAATATGTACAGGCAAAAGGAGCGCAGGTGAGCGTTGGGCATGGCCAACCTTTCCTTTTGTTTATGCCCTGGATTTAAAACTGAGACTTAATCACCGCTTGTTCCCACCCCTACTTTCTCCAAATAGGAGCAGGACGTCATTTCCTATGGGGATGGCTTTGATAGCACAGTTAAAGGCGGGGTAGTAGATGGTGAAGCGGTGGTTGTTTCCTAACACTTCCCGGCAAGTGGTCATCCTGTTCCTCACATGCTGATCTCCAACAGTGCCGTGTCAAATCTCAATTAAATACCCATCAGATACAAGTACAGAGTGTATAGACTACTTTGAAAACTGCCAGGAAACTCGACTTTTAGAGCCAGACTTCAGATCACAGCATTGTGGCACTGGGATGCTCTTGACAGCCCAGAGTTCTGCTGAGGCAGCCTCCACTCCAGGGACTTGCTGAGAGTGGCATTTTGCTAGCTGGTTTTAATTTGTTTGGTAATTAGATTCATTTCTTCTAAAAGTTGTGTGTAAAACACAAACGTCAGTAACCTAACCTGCCTTTGTCGCCTACTTTGCAGTTTGTTTTAGAATTTTGAGTTCCAGGATAAATCATCCTCTACTTAAAATTCATTTAAACCAGCCTTTAAATAATTACCAAAAAAACTCAAGTATGTGATTTTTTTTTTAAAAAAGCAAACAAACAGTAAATGGATTTTTAAACATCGGCATTGTTACTCATCTAGCAGAAATCATTACGTGCTCTGTTGCAAGAGGTTAAACGGCTTTTGGGCAATCTGTTTCAAATGTAGAAAGACTTTTTGTTTACTGAGTCTGTATTTCATGATCATCTAAAACCCCCCCCCCCAGTCCTCTGGATGGAAAGCATGTTCTGTACGCCAGCCTGTGCTGTTGCTGCCTTTCTTCTGTCGTCAACCCAAATCTGTTATTTCCTCAATTTAGGAACGATCGTGGTAAAGTGATTAAGCCACTGCAGTATCAGTCAACTGTGGCTTCTGGCACAGTGGCACGAGTGGAGCCAAATATTAAATGGTTTGGTAAGTATCATCCCGTATCTCTGCTCTACAAATGTATGTCGCATGAAAAAGTCTCAAACGCTGAAATGTCCAAAAGAAGTTTTCGGTGAGTGAGACTGCCAAGGGCTCTAAAAGGGAAATAAAGAATACCCATAGTGGG